CCAAGCAGTGGGTCTGTTCTGAATTTTGCACGGGTGTGGATTGCTGAGTCATTTATCCAGTTCAAGAACATTTGCTGAGTCATGGTTTGCACAGTACTGTGTTTCAGCTGGAGCATAGCAACTTCTGCAAGTTAAATCAACTTATCAGTGTTCCTCTTTCTTCTCCTCTCCCACATCTGTCCCCAAGTCAAGCAGCATACTATAGGATAAAAACTATATTGCACCATTATCAGACTGTTGGTCTTTTCCTGTCAGTTGTTTACTAACTCAAGGGCTGTAGAAATCTGCCAACAGAAAAGATTAGGTATCATGTCATATGGAGTTTGCAGTGTTCAACCTATGCTGCGCACTCCACAATGAAAATGCAGTGAACAAATACTGGGACTGTTATGTCATCTACTGAGAGTGATTTTAAAAATCGAAGATCCATTTTATTTTAAAAATAAGTTCTAGTCAGAACATCATGAAACCAGATGGGTCATCAGTATGTTAAACATAGTTATCAAAACTCATGATTCAGAGCATCAGATGATCACCTACAGGAAGGAATTCCCCCTGCCATCTCCTAGGGTTGACATTGAACAACTGGGGGAAGGCAGAGGAAACCACCTTGTTCTGCTGCCCCATAAAGTGTCAAGTACGTATTGGCCACTTCTGGAAGCACGATGCAAAATTCAATGATGTATCAATGGTATGATTCACTTTGGTAAATCCAGTGTTGCAGCAAAGCACACAACATATCTGGAACAGTGAATTTTAATTCCCAGGGGGAATTGTCTTGGTAAAGTGTATGTAAGCAGCTGTGGCTGAATCTATCTTTCCATTTCAATAGATGAGACAAATTGAAGTGAATTATTGTGGCTGTTCCCTTTTTCAAAGTAAAGCAGTTAGGAACACAATAAGTAAGACAATGCTGCATCTTCTTAGCCTTGCTATAGCTGTTTTGCGTGGCTGAGATCAAACTTATTTCATATTTGACACCAAATAGCCATCAACTGGTAACGGCTTTATGGCCCAGCATTGGTGTTGAGATGGTGACCGACATGATAACTGGTGTTTTTCTTAAAGCTCTAGCTCCTGGAGATAAGCGATTAAGTGAGAAACTCAGTTTTTGTTACAAAAGAAAAGTAAGTTAGTGGCCATCCTCATTGCAGAGAAAAGCTTGAAAATGTGACCCCAGGGTACTCTAAAGACTTAACAACCACAGGGGAAGTTTTATTATTTGTTAAAAACATCTCCTGATTTTCAAGGCAATCTCATGATTTTTGGGAACCTGACTCATTATTTTTAAATGCCTGCAGATGGCAATATTATTTCTGTACAGACCCTCGCTTAACAGGGTCCCAACTCAATTACTGCCTTTAGGCAGTATCACAGAACAAATGACTAACAACCGCCACTAGTTAAACCTTTTGGGACTGTAAATTGAGTCAGAAAGCTCACAAGAACAGGCTCATGAGATTGCTGGTATTGTCCGACAACTGACTGGGCCCCAAATACCAAGAAAACAACTTTTCATGCAGCATTTCAGCCTTTAGTTTTTTGTCTTGGCTAGAATTGAGAAGCACAAACACACACCAATATAAACACAAAGGAAAGATTTAACCAAACTTTTCCTAAACATACAAAAAGCTTTGGTTCTTGTTTGAGCTTGGAGCAAAAGTGTGTGTGTGTGGTGTGGTGTGGTGAGTCTTATTTATCTAACCTGATTCACCTGTCCAGTTGTAACTGACTGCTTCAAGTGGCCTCAACTCAGCAGTCATGCTGTACCACACCCAGCTGCAATAATTGGATAAACTTCTCCATAAGGGCAAAGTGAAAGGAGGATCTCCCAGCACAAGGAGAGCGTGGTGTTTTTTCCCAGTTTTTAAACGAAAACAAGAGACAAAATATATGTAGCGAGTGGCAGGTAAAGAACACATTTTTAAAAATACATCAGAAAGTGGTTAATCAGCTTGTGGAATTCACTGTTGCAGATGATCAGCAAGTCAAAGCTACAGCTGTCAGCAACTAATGACTTTGGACCACTGAGATTGTCAGTAATTGTGAAAACTAAAATCAAATGTGGTGCTCTGAGGGCACTTACCATCATGAAATTCCCCATTCAGAGTGTCACTACTAAAACAATGCTGAGCCTGGCAGCAGCACTAGATAGTTCCAGGATGCAGCGTGGCCCTGATGACTAGGTCCCTACGGTAGGACTCAGGAGGCTAGCTTCTAGTCCTGGCTATGCCACTGGCCTGATGGGTGGCCTTAGGCAGTCATTTCACCTCCACTTGCCTGGGTTTCCCTAACTGTAAAATGACAGTGAAAGCAGCACAGGATGGTCCCAAGGAGCAGCAGATAACTTCTTTAGGTCTAGTGTTTGTGCTCCCAGTTTAGACAAGCATTTACAAATAAGTCAAACACTCTGACGTTTGTGGCTTTCCTTAGGCTGTGGTTTGTGCTACAACCTTGCTTTTTAGATTTCATCATAAAAACCCACCTACTTAATGATAATTTCAGCAAAACTATTCCTGTTTGGGTTAGATGAGGACAACTGACTACAATCTGATCTCAAAAAGAGTGCTTTCACAGTCCCTAGGTTATACAAGAGAAGGGTGCCAACAACTAAAAAGATCCAAAGTTTCACCCAATTGCTAAGTGGAACTAGCATCTACGGATATAAAAAAACAAAAAATCCAAACATTACTTTCAAGGAAAAGCAACAACGATCTGTTCTTCCAATCCTGGGAGATACTGCAAGACATTTTGGTCATATAGCATCTATCATAAAATTGATCCAAATTCCTTAAATATGGAGCCAATCTCCATGCACAGAGGTGATGTCAGGGATATGCATGCAGTTGCAGCACTGAGAAATTCAAGCTTGAAATTTCAATTTCAATGTCAAGCTGAAAAATTCAAGGACAGGGACCTGTTATCTGTTTGATGTTTGGTACAGATTGGCGAGCACTACATATATTTAGAGTATTCTGTAAGGCCCTGCTTCAGGGAAGTACTAAAGCACATGCTTAAGTCTAGCCCTATTCAGGACATCTTAAGTGCTGTCCTCAACAGGGAGGCTCAATCATGGCCTAAATGTTTATAATTTATAATATATTCCATAAGCACTGATTGTCTGACTGTAGGGAAACTCGGGTGAGGTTGGAACCCCAAACTACTGTGTACTTCTTTAATCCAAGATTTGGACTGCATTAGAATGTGTCGATTTTTAAAATTCTGTCTTGCTTATTGTTCTTGCTGTATTCTTCCTTTAATTTTCTGTGTCTTCTCTTGTTTTTATGATTTATTTCTTTGCAATGTTTTCTGTACCATTTTTCCTTTGCCCAATATTTACCCGTTGTGTTGTTTTATTTTTTAAAATCTCTTAGGTACACTATAAATTCCAATACCAATAGTATGTAGGTGCTGTTTGGAGGGATGCTGTAAGGACTGACAATTTCAAAGTGATAGAACATAAAAAAATCCTGATACACAAGAATTCCAGCCAACCCCCAAGGCAAGAAGATCTGGAACAGTCTTAATAAGCCATGGGATAAGTTAGGAAAAACCCCCAAAATTAAACCAGGATGCTGAGCTGGCTCTGATTACGGTTGCACATGGCAGAAGTCTGTGTGCAAGTGTATGCATGTGAACACACACAATATTTCATCCCCTCACTATCCTGCACGCTCTGTTCTGGCAAGCCAGGGAGAGATTAAAATGGATGACTGAGTACAGGATTCTCATCCATGTCAATCTCTTGCTGGCATCAGCTCAAAGTTACACCATAAACACCTTAAAGATGACCTGCAAAGGAAAAATAATTGGGCCAGGGCCCTCTTTAATTTTTGCTTCTTATATTAAAAAAAGTTTCTGCTTGGGTTTTTTGTTTGTATGTTTTTACATTAGAAATTCAGGCCTGTCTAGGCTGGAAGACTACAAAAGTAGAAGAAGTGGTGTAATGGTGCCATCCCAAGAGTGAGGAGAATGAAAGCTGAACATTCTAGAAGGCAAGGGATTTTTAGATACTAATTTTTTGTTTTGTTTTTAAATTATTAAGGCAATTTTACAATAAATGGTTATTATACTACATTGTACATTACTTATTACTTATTAGGGCTCAGGTTAATATTCAAAGAACCTGGCTAAAGATTCTGGCTTGCTGGCTGGGAGACCTTCTCCTCTGACTGCACTAAAAAGGATGAGCAAATTTCTAAATACCTATTCTCTTTTTGGTGCACCTTGTGTGTATATACTTGGTGTGAAAGCTTTTCCGTCTGCTTCAGCAACAAGCCATTCCATAAGAGAAGTCAATTTTTCCATTTATGTGCAATATGAAGTCTTGCAACTCACAATAAAAAAGAAATTAATTTCTCATTTTGTTTAAAATGTAGATCTTTTACTGGAGCATTAAGTAAGTAGGTCAAGGGATCTCTGGGAAGCTAGCAGTTTGTTATAAGACGAATTTCTTCAATAATTTCCTCCTAAACCATCCAATTCGTGGACACAACCACCACATTTGTGAGTATGTTCTGCTTTCCCAGAAACCCCTTCTACAAAGTGCCTCCTTAGTAGCAAAAATATGATGGATCTTGACTGGAGTCAAATGCCATCTATACACTAATTTATAAACATTTTCTTTATTGGCTCTCAAACTTTTTAACTGTTGACCCCTTTCACATAGCAAGTCTCTGAGTGCAACCCCCCTTATAAATTAAAAACACTTTTAAATATATTTAACACCAGTATAAATGCTGGAGGCAAAGCAGGGTTTGGGGTGGAGGTTCACAGCTCGCGACCCCCTATGTAATAACCTCGCGATCCCCTGAGGGGTCCCGACCCCCAGTTTGAGAACCCCTGATACACAAATTGAAGATGTATAGCCCCTTTCCCATACAGAGATCCATTCATCCAGATCAATTTCTTTGTACAAATCCATCTCCATATTTTCATCTGGGCTGTTTTCTTATCAACATCTTTTTCACTCAAAATTGTATATATCTTAGAAATTAAACCTTTTGTTCCAGCTTGCTCCTGGGTCAACTCCTCAAATATGATTAAAGGTCTAGGTAGAGCTGTTTTGTATCCAGATTTCACAATAAAATGTTTGTCCTGCAAATATTGGAAATACAGAATCTTAATATTATTTACATTATTACTATTTTAAACTTTGTATTTTGTTTGCTTTTCTTAATATAAATTTACCTTCAGTGACTTATTTGCATTTTCAGTAAAGGAAGTCTTTGTTAAAGGGCCAACATCCCTTAACCAGGGAAGGTTAGATTTTCCATTCCTGGTATTCCTAAAGATTAAAAAAAAAATCACAGTAAAAACAACAAAATAACACCTACCTCCCGGGACTTTCTTAGCCATCAGAAAAAGAAGCAAAGAAAGGACACAAGTCCCGCATGTAAAAAATCCTGTACAGCTTGCTATTAAGAGGGAAAAAATCAAAGATGGCATAATAAGTCCTGATCCTAAAATTGCGTTGGAACAGCCTGTGCAAAATCAATAGGGCTCTGCAATAGGAGTCTGCTCGTACACATCACTGTTGATTTAGACCTCTGCATAGGCGAATGGGGCTGCTTGTGTGGATACAGTTGCAGGATAAGGGCTTAAGTCATCATGGGTGCGTTTTCAGAGAATAAAAATGGTTTTGGTATCCTAAAAATGATACCTTTTCTATGGGATTTTCTCCAAATCATTTAACCTTCCAGTAGTGGCTTTGCAAGTCATCCACCTAGCCACAGGTCTTGAAATAGTTCTATGTTCCTATGAGCCTGATGTATTTGGAATGGTTCCGTGCATATTCCCCATTAGAGAATTGTTTGTTTACACAGAATAATAATGAAAGCCAAAGGTGATCTGGGCAGAGGTGACTTCAATTTTCCACCATGGAAAAGTTTTCTGGTACTCTTTATTCTATAGTTCAATGCTAGGTTTTGCTTTTCTATCATTTTCCTTCATATACTCTTAGTTTAACTGAGTTATTACCTTTAAACCCTTTGGCAGCAACAATGCTGCACAATATGCTGTGATGAGGCATATTGAAGTCAGTGAACAAATGGCTCATTGCTGCAGCAGATGTTGTTGCTGCCTGGAACATGTTCTGATCTTGGATTTTTAAAGAACCGGATCACTGAAGCTGCAGAAAAATTTGCGAAGATAATTCACAGGATAATGGAGATAACTGATGACTGAACGGGGGCTATTAACCCCCTTTCATTTATTACACTATAGGCAAGATTTTAACTCAACTTCAGATGTATAAAGCCTATTCATTGACACACTGAGTCACTAATTGCCTTTAAAGTTTCATTAAAAACAGATGCAACATTAAAGCGCAAGTATTACTCACACGCTAATCAAGGTGCAGCTCAACATTCTGAGCATGAACTGATAACATATCTAATGATGTAGAAAACAGCTGCTAATGCAGCAGTTGTATTCTTCACTGTACAGTTACAATTAATATTGATAAACGTAAAGTGCCTGCTGCAAATGCATTATGTTGGCTGGGTAAGTAGAATACTAAGGGTGAGAAAAAGAAGTATTATGGTACGGCAAAGGCTATGTCTGAACATGAATCCTCTCTATAGAGCTTGTTTTTTTTCTTCCCCTCTGAACATGTCAAGGCAGAACTGGCCTCTTGAACAAAGAATGTTTCGGTGCACTGACTAATTAAAATTTGCCAGATATTTTTAAGTCAATAAATATTTTACAGATAAAATGGTTACCGGATGGAGAAATCTGGAATAATTAAGTAATTAAGTTGTGATGCATTTTGCTTTAGCTAGCTCATTCTGTGTAACTAATGATTGCAAGCAACATGCTCCTGGCAGTTCAATACCTTCCATCTAACACAGGTTTCCTAGGATGGTTTTAAACAATAAAACACAAGGGCTTAATATCCGTATCACTTGTATTAGTTTTCTACTAATATTTTCTAGTGTGATGAGTTATTTTGATTGTTACTCCTGGGGATGAGAGGAGAATCAGGTCCCAAGGCCTTGTCTATGCTAAGATTTTTCTTTATAACATTGTTGCTATCACTGATCCAGCTCACTAGTGGCAGCAATGGTAGTAGTCTAGTATAGACAGGGCTCTAGTCAATCGTGAGAGTTTTATGCACTGTATTGTCCAGTCCTGCTCAGAGAAGGTGCTTAAAGTGCCAGCAACCGTCTAGAGTTCTGTCTGCTTTACTGCTACCACTAGTGGAGCTGAACTGGTCATGGCACCAAGTGGGAAATATTAAAGAAAAACTTCTCGGAGGAGGGATGGTCCAGAGGTTACGGCACTACCTTGGGGCTTGGGGAAGACCTCAGTTCAATTTCTTACTCTGCCTCTGTGACTTTAGGCAAGTTACTTAATCTCTCTGTGCCTCAATTCCCCATCTTTAAAATGGGGATAATAGCACTTCTCCTGAAGTAATTGGACTGCAGGATCTGGGGCTTAAGATAAACACCAATTATCACAGGACTAATGAAATCACAAAAGTTGGCAACATTGTGATTTTGGGTTGCTCTGGGGGACAAAGCAGCATCCTGGGTACAGTTAGTTAGTTGGGATTCCTATGGACCTGCAGCCCAGAATAGCCAGAGAAGAGAGAGCTCTGCTTATCTCCCACCCTAGCTCCAACATGCCCCTATGTTGGGACTTACTGGGGGAAACCTAAAGAATAGGGAAAGATACACTGTAGGGGCACATATACCAGCCCTATGCTGTCCCCTGCACTTGGGAAATTCTCCCTTATGGACCATTGTGGCATACTAGAGTGGCATAAAAGGGCCACCACAGGGGCTTGAATCCAGTCTTCGGCATAGACGCAGCCCTAGCAAGAGAGAGAGAGTATGTGGAAACTTCTCTTTCCACCTTGTTCATCTTAATTTCTCTTCTAAGATAACATGGTAAATAAGCAGTTCATTCTCAGGGAGGCCTGATGGAGGTCACTGGCAGCATGTGTGGAGCCAGCTTGGGCTACAGCATCATTAATGTCTGCTGAGGAGAATGACAATCTTATTGTCTTTGATCTGCCCAGACAAAATATATTAAAAAATGTATGTGGCATGTTGCAAAACAGTGTGGCCTTTCAATGTTCCGTGGGAGAGTTAAAATGTAGTTTTAGAAGGAAAACATGCTTTGCTATAAATTCCAGGCCTAACTCTTGTAGAACAAGAGCACTTCCTGAATACTGTTTCTTGTGCGGGGCTGACATTTTTAGAGGAAGGACAACATAATATTAGATGTTCTCTAGGGGACAATCCCCTGGCAGGGATATTGACTGGATGGCTCCATGGATTCTGTAAGACTTACCAATGGGTCATCAGTTTCTTTAACCCTTCTCCATCCACTTTCCCAGCAGTGAAGGGCCAGGCACCCCATCAGACCCCTGTTGGTCACCTATCTAGCCCCAAATTGCCCACCCTTCTCACACCTATCTTCACATATAAAAAATAAAATATTTACTTTATTGGTCTAGCCTCAGTGCTACGCTGCACACATAGTTACATTTCATAGTTTGCACATCCCTAGAAGTGGCTCTGATTATTCTTCTCAAAGCTTTTCCCCATTGTCCCCATGGTGGTGAGACGCTTGCTTCTATTCAGAGCAAAGATGCCAGTGAAAATGTTAAAGCTAAACTTTTTTTAAAAACTTATCCTAGCTTTAGGATTCCGAACACATTATGTATTATTATTATTTATTTGAAAGAGCATTTTTAATCACAAGAATATGTTAGCATTGGTATGTATTACTGAATACTGAAGATATTTTGCAACAAAATCTTGTTTTTTGCAACAGTTTAAGTTTTAAAAAAAGCTTAATCTTAGCAAAACACCAGTGAATGACTTAGTTTGTTGTATATATGTTTAAGGAAGCATTATTTGGCTCCTTCTTAGAGTTCAGGATAAAAACAAACAAACAAAAACAATTATTTATCTTGAAAAACATTTGTGTTTTAGTTTCTCCCCCAGACTAAAATTATGGGAAGTAAAAGCTAACCATTTCATTTAGATGGGCAGCTGTGAAAATGCTTTTTCTTTGCCTTATTACCTTGCTTATTCCATATCCATGCTGTGTTTCTGTACCTTTGTGTACAGAGAAACTGATCTTGTTGAATCAGTGGACAAGGAAGTGTTGAACACAATGCTGATATGGAGAGTGGAGCTCTCACAGGCACTTTATCCACCAGTCTCATGCTGTTCAGAGCCTCCTCTTTTTTAATCACTTTGTGATTGCAAGGAAAAAGAAAATATTATGCCATCATATTCTGCTTTGAAATGGGGCTTTAAGCCTCATTGAAGAAAAAGTCACTTCCATTGCAACTTCAAAAGGAGGAACATCTTTTTCTATTTCTTTTGCAAAGAGAAAATATTATCAAGTGACCTATGGATGTCTATTTGTGATGGTGCAAAGTCCAGGAAAATAAATCTAATTATGAAACAATTGTTAGCAAAAGTTGGCAGGTTTATACTGACTTATTTTAAACAATCCTTTCATTCTGGAGACTGATATACTTAATAAAGGCACGATCTGGTGGCTGTTACTCCAGTGGATGCCAGTGGGAGGCTTTGCCTGAGTAAATATATAGAGCCAACTGTACCTTGATCAGTTGTTTCATTTGCCTTTAAATGGAAAGTGTTTCAAACAGTTTGCTACACTCATTGAAGGCTGTTGAGTTGCGCTGTAATTTATGTACAAAGCCCTTTCTCTTCTGCTGGAAGTGTTATATTATCAATACAGTCAATGGGTACATGACAAAGGTTTGAATAGACAAGGTGGGTGAGCCCTGAAGAAGAGCTCTGTGTAAACTCCAGAGCTTGTCTCTTTCAACAACAAAAGTTGTTCCAATAAAAGTTATTACCTCACTCACCTTGGCTCTCTAATATCCTGGGACCAACACAGCTACAACAATACTGCAAACCAAGGTTTGAATAAGCTCTCGGAATTGAGATTCTTATATCCCGCTTCATCTGAATCCCAAGCTGGGCTGGAAGTCTTAAGAACAGATTTTATCATAAAATTTCTGGTATTTTAAGGCCTTGTCCAAAGTCCACTGGAGTCACTGGAAAGAGTTCATTGACTTAATGGGCTTTGGTCAGGCCCTTATAATGGGCTTCTCACATCTCCTTTGCTCTCATCCCACCCTTGGCCTTAGCCCATGCTGTTCCCTACATCCAGAACTTCTCCCTACATCTCAGCATACCAGGCACCAATCTTCCCTTAATTTAATCCCTACTCAAAACCTACAACTTCTACAAAGGTAACCCACACAGTAAAATGCTGTCACTACCACTAAACAGGGAAGATAATCAAAAGCAAGAAGTGATGCAAAAATGCACATCACCTCCAGGAGTACATGCAGATCATGGCCACTGTGCTACCCTGATAGGAGTGTGCCCTCTTTCTCTGCAACCCCAATTCAGGGAAAGCTTTACTGACTGGTGTGGAGTGGAGGGATTAGGACTATGGCCTAGGCAAGAATTGCAACCATTTTATAGATGGGTAAATGGAGGGATTTAGGGATTAATTGACATCCCCAAGGTCAAGTAGTGGTTGGTGGCCAAACTGGGGTTGCAAGTCACAATGAAGGGAGGCTAACGGCAGTGGACCCATGGTGGAGCTAGCTGGGCATGCCATGGATGGAAAGGAGGGGAATCACTGAGGGTGCTGTCCCTCTGTACCAAAGAGGCTGTGTGTCTTTCAGATTATCCTGGGGGGTGGTATGACTCATGAAGTTATTTCCGTGCTTGTCACTTTCATTTCTCATGGGATTTCTTCTTGGTCTCTGCTTTGCATCTTGCTGACGTCTCATAGTCATAACTGATAAACAATGAGAAAGGAGAAATCACAAGAGAAAAAGTTGGCTGTAGCTCCCGCTTCTGCCTGTTGGACTTCAGAGTACATTTTTTGTATATTTTTGGTGTCAAAAACATCAGCAGCCAATGTATATATTGTTTTAATTAGGAATGGCTTATTCCAGCTGAGCTGACCCTCCCTGTTGCTCCCAGGAAACTGCTTGAGCAAATAGCCATTATTTATCATTTTGTACAGAAGAAAGTATATTGCTATTCTGACAAGGTCAGTCTTCATTGTAATTTGTCACAGAGTAATAATCTAACACACATTCTGCTGCTATTACATTGCATATTTCTGAACTATGTTACACTGTTATGTATGTAAGTGGTTTATCTGAGAATGTGCACAGAAGGTGTATTGCAGCTCCATTTAGAAATCAATGCAATCCACTTGTATGGACTGGTGACTACAATCCTGTTTGTGCTTTAACTACAACAGAAGTTGGGGGCAGACAGGTTTGGGACTAAAAAAGAAGTCATTTCTTCTTTATGAGGGCTCCCGTTGAAGCTAATGTCAAAACTAGAGTTGGCGGGGAATTTTCCATCACCATGATTTTTTGGCAGAAAATGTGCTTTCTGCAAAACTGAAGTTTTCTGGGAGAAGATTTAGATTTTCCCCAATTTTTTCAGTTTTCCATTGGGAAAATCTAAATGAAGTATTTTGTTTTGGGTAGGATTGATCCAAATCAAACATTTCAGTTTGTTGAACAGAACCAAACATTTCGTTTATAGTCAGTTCAACATTAAACTGCATGTGCCGGTGGTGCCACAATGCCTCTTGGGAGATGAATTTGAGAGATTCCTGTCCCCATTCTTTCCTATTCGCTGGGCTCCAGGGCAGGACTATATCTCTCCTAATGCACCATGGTCTCTCTTCTGACCCAGTTGCTTGGTACATCATGGGGGATATCTGGCCAGAGAGCCTGAGAACAAACTACAATTCCCATGAAGCATCCCGGTGCCACTGACAGATGAAGTTCAGTGTTGAACTGACTCAAAACAAACCATTGCTTTTCAGTTTAACATACCCAGCCAGTACAACATTTCTGAACTGAAAGTTTTCAGAACTTTTTGCTGCTTAAAACATTTTGACATTTCAACTTTTCAGCCTGATTCAAGGTGAAAACAAATGTTGAAATATAGGAATTTCCTGTGAGGTGAGATTTTTGATTTTTCTCACAACATTTGTCATAAACTCCCTTTGGCTGCAGCTGGAAGAGGCTCAGGCTCCAATTTGGAAGAATGATCATGTGCTACATAAAAGAGACCCACAAATATGTTTAAAGATATGGTTTTGCTTGTGTATAGTGGCAACAGTATGCCTGAAAGAAATGTTATTTTAAAAAAAATCTGCAAGTCTTTTAATATTAGAACTATTGAGAAAGTTTTGCTGGAGTATCTCTTGGAGGCCTAATTTTGAGCTCTCAGACCTTAACTGAAAACTTTATAAATATGTCCTTTCCCTACAATGTTCATTGATCATTAGAGTTAAATATGTGTTAACAACACACACATCCTAGTTTGACTTTAAAAATCCCTTCCCCTTCTGAAATGCTCAGCTTTCAGCCTCTTGACCATTCTGATAAATTCACTAATTTTCCAGTCACTTGAGAGCATTCCAAGGTAGATCAGAAATGAATTTTTAATATGCAAAACAAGCAGAACCTCTGTTACCTTCTCCAAACCTGCCCCCCTCCCCGCACACACACACACACTCACCCACACTTGTTCTTTTTTTAAACACCAGAAAGCAGACAAAAAGCACAAGACCACACACTACACTTTTCCCCCCAGGTCACTTTTAAAGAGAGTTGGCCTAGCACCCTTTTAACATAAGAAAGTAGGCTTTCTTCTTCCTCACAAAAATCCTCCCCGCTAAAATGTCCCTAATAATTTTTTCATATTTTTAGATAGATGACAAAAAAGGGGGGAGTGGGAGTATACTGGGTTGAATGTTCTGATTTTCAAACATCTGTGTAAAAATATTTCAAAATTGCTAAAAAGCAAAATTTCATCCAATTCAATCAAAAACTGTTTCCAAATCTTGATGTAGACTTGTTGAATTACCACTAAAAATAAAATACTTGTGTTACTATAGTGACTATTTAAGCAAATGGATGAGCACTATAGATAGCAATCCTCAATAAGTGACTCAGTCTGATAATGAATCTAACAGATAAAAGGAAAAAATGATTTGTCATTATCTTGACTAGCCAAACTTTACATATTTGAGCTGCAGCGATGCTGCTTTTCTGACCATCCTTTTGAATTGTACACCTCCCCACAGAGTTATTGTAAACAAACTCTTTTCAGAACAGGAATGTAGCTCAATTTAGTTTTTCTGTTATTATACAAGCGGCTATAGAACCACATTATAATCTTTTTGATTCAGGGAACCAGCCTGGGACTCTACAATTCAGGCATGACCCACTTATTTCATAAATAGATTTCAGTAGCTGCTGCACTGAGAAATGGTGAAGGAAACAATATTGTGGGGAAGCATCAGTGCTTGGGAATGCAAATGTTTAGTAATTTTTAGCAAAGGCTTCCATTTTCCAAACTGGAATAAGAAACTATTGTATCAGTGAGACAGTGTGTTCAAATTTAGTCAAATTTAGTGTGTAGACTTAGTAAACACAGGCAGCGAATTAGTGGAAGGAAACAGAACCTCTTTCCAAATCCTCTGAAACAGATCTGCAATCCATAATGAGGTCACATTATGAGGTTCCTCCAGGGACCAAGCCTTGACGGAAAGAATAGTCTTGTGGTTAATGCATGGGAGATCACAGTTCTCAGTGCAAGATTTGCATGGAGTTCATATGACATTAGGCAAAACACTTAACCTCTCATTGACTGTTTCCCCATCTATTAAATGATAATAATATTAATTACACCAGTTTGCTGTGGGGTTCAGGCCATTGGTATTTATGAAGTAATCAAATACTTTAGTGCTGAGTGCCATAAAAAAAGCCTAGAGAAATAGATGTGCTGCACTGATCAAGGCCCATTTACTTTTTGTTTAGCATTTGCTTGCTTTCGTTTAGTTTTGATTCATGTTCTTTTATGATCTGGGAATTATTTTTAATTGTTAGGACCAGACAGGATGTGGTTGTCCGTGCATAGGCGACTGGGGAGAGAAAGCACTTATCATTCCTGTGGGAGAGACAGCCACATTTGCAGCCTCTGGTGGGATGAGGGTGGAGCCATGACCCTTCCATTCCTCTGCGCCAGGCAGTGAAGTTGAGCCAGCTCTGTACCCTTTAAAAAGGTGGTGGAGCAATTAATTTGGGTTGTTTGCTTAACATGCAGTCCAAACAGACAGGGAAAATTTTAACAGCATATAGGGATAGCCAACGAGGTGGTAGCCTGAGTGTCATCATCTGAAGGTGGCTTGTCTAATTTAAGTGTGTTTGTATTCAGTGCATCTAGCAATCCTGGCAACAGGCACTATATCAGTTAAATTGTTGAGAACCAGGCCCATAGCTGAGAAACCGGCCACCATTTTTAAAGGACAGTATTGTGCATTGAAAGTTCTGCAAACACTTTCAGAAAGCTGTGCCAACAATGTACAAAGCTATTTTGTTAACCCCGAAACAATTCAAAGCAGTTGGAGTTGAACTTATAGAACGTACATTGTTCTCTTCCATTGACTCTATAAGGAGGCCATCTGGCCACCAAGAGCAGAATTGTGTTTGTGCCTCTCTGTCTTCAGAGTTCTTTGGTGGTGGAGTTACTGTACAGCAGTGGCATTGCTGAAGGGTGCTTGGGAGAGCATCAGTTAATGCCTTGCATTTATTGATTGCCCTCCCAAGTCCACATTTTTTTCCTGTGTAAGCAGAGCTGCCCCCTTCTCCTTTCTTTCTTGAACTAGCCACTTTACTAAGTCTTACTTTGCCACCTGCCCGGTCCAAATGGAGAGAACCACAGCAAACTTTTCACTTTGCTTAACAGAAACACTCTAGGGGTCGGTAACCTTTCAGAAGTGGCGTGCCGAGTCTTCATTTATTCACTCTAATTTAAGGTTTTGCGTGCCAGTAATCCATTTTAACGTTTTTAGAAGGTCTCTTTCTATAAGTCTATAATATATAACTAAACTATTGTTGTATGTAAAGTAAATAAGGTTTTTAAAATGTTTAAGATGCTTCATTTAAAATTAAATTAAACTGCAGAGCTCCCCGGACCGGTGGCCAGGACTCGGGCAGTGTGAGTGCCACTGAAAATCAGCTCGCGTGCCGCCTTTGGCACGCGTGCCATAGGTTGCCTACCCCTGCTCTAGAGGATCATATTCCACCCTGGCCCATCTCCTTTTATTTAACTCTATGAACTTGTACCCATTTAGACAAAGGCTGAATTTGGCCTATAGCACAGCTAACTTTTACCAGTGTCAGGGGATAGAATTTTTCAAGGGTGGAAGTTGACCAGGTTTGGAACAATTCCCTCACAGAGAATCCCCAGCTCTAAAGGAATGTTAGCATTGTTTACTTCAGAAATAACCTTTGAAAGAGAATGACAAAATCAAATTGCCAGCTAGATGGTACAGGGATGAATGCCTTAGGCACAGAAATAATAATTCCATTTGACTATGCGATACACAATAAAATAGCCCTTGAATACCTTGTAATAGCTACCATATAATGCAGACTGCTGTCTCTTCTTTACTGATTTCTTTAACAACTACACCAGATCCAATAAGGCAGATTAGATCAAGGGCTCTCAGACTTTCTCCATCTGGGACCTCCATGCCAGCCACCATTTCTTATTACCCAAACCCACAATAAATTGTGTTCATATCCCACAGTCATCTGGGATCATGAGAAGAAACTGTGGTTGGTTTGGGGTCTGGTGCTAGAACATACTGGCAGAGTTAGTGAAAGGACTGGATGGGGATGGATGCTGGTACAGGCTATAGGGAGAGTGCTGTTGGATAGGGGTATTTCCTTCTCTTTATGCCACTACTTATCTACA